CGCCACCACAACTGCCAGAGCCCCGCGCCCGCCTCGCTTCCGGCAGGGATCCGTCACTTCCGCCTCCGTCCTCGTGGCCCCGGAGGACCGGGACTCTATGGTCACTCCGCTTCCGCTCTGCTGGAGCCGGAGGACCAGGATGGGCTCTCGTCGCCCGCTCTGGTGGCGCCGGAGGACCCGGATTCTATGGTCTCCGCGCCCCGCCCCGGGCTTAACCCAAGCCTTAACCCATTCTCCTGACCCCATGCCTTCCCGTGGGGGGGGGGTCGGGGCGGAGGCTGTGCGCGTGCGCTTGTTTGTGTATGCGCACGTCGGTGGGTGTGTGCGCCATCACTAGCGTTACCTCCAGAGGATCCTTGGCACAAAGGGACGCTCGCGACACGCGTGCCAGCGCCGCTGGGCTCAGCTGGGGCGGGGGTCACCGAAACTCCTGGCGGCCCCACCGCGCCCGGGGAGGGAGGACGCGCGGGGCGGAGGGAGCCCTCGAGGCGAGCAGGAAGGAGCGCGGCATGACACGAGGCCGTGGGAAAGACTCGCGGGGGGGGGGCAGGGTTACACGGGGTACGGCCTGCTTGGGGGAGCCTCGCCCTGGAGGCAGAGAAACAACAGAAGGAGGAGGAACGAAAACCCGACCAAGACATCCGTGGCTTGACCCTCCCTTTCTTTAACCACCGCCTGTGCCACTCGCCAGGGTGGAGAGGGCGACCCTTGGCCCCTGGGTGGGAGTGACGGTCCTGAGCTGTGGGATCGCTGGCGCAGAGCGGGACTCAGGCATTCGCGAAAAGGTCGACCAGATGACCCTTGAGGTCCCCTCCAGCCCCAGGAGTGGGCAGGAGACCGGGCGGGCACCTGGCTGGGGTCATGTGACCAGGCAGGGGTGTGGCAGAAGGCCACCTCTGTTTCTCCCCACAAACTCTGCTGTGTGACAATGTGGTGAGGATGGGCCCAGCAGAGGGTGCACACCTTACCCTCTCTCTTTAGGTAACCTGAGCTGGACACATTCCTGAGGGAGGGGCGAAACCTGCTCCCTCTGCCTACCTGACTGGTATCACACACCTGGGTGAGGGGCTTGGGCTCCCTGGGGGAGCTAGAGACTGCCAGTCTGCCCAGCAACTAGTGATGTATTTCAAATTGGTTGGCTGACAGCCAACGGGTGCTGGCCTCCATTGGACCAGGTAAATGAGGTCATGAGGGCTATAGAAGTTAAGGACGGCCCAAGAGGGGGGGGCAGCAGCCATGAGGGGTACTCAGAGAGAGAGAAGAGCTGCACCATCTGAAACTTGCTCTCTCTCTCAAAACTCAGGATCAATGAACTGCCTGCCTCCAGAAGGAATCTCCACCTGCCTCTGGATGATACTTGTTAGTAATCTACCTGAGATCCAACTAGATACATAGCTTGCAGTGACTCAGATGCGTGATCAAAGACTACCCAGCCATGCCTGTTTGCTCTATGGGATTTCTCTGATACTACTCAACTCTGTACCCTGTTCCAACCCTGCCCCTTGTAACCAATAAAGTTCTCCTTTGTACCTAGCGTGGGAGACTTATTGGGAGTGGGTCTAGGTTATGCCTTGGGGTCCCCTTGGTTTGGCTGACTAAGGGAGACCACTACTTCCAACTGTGGGAAGCATCCTACGTTCTTGCAATGAGTCAAGTACCCTCGAGGGCTACTAGGCTTGTGTTTCCCAGGGGGTGCAGAGCCAGAATCAAGCCCAGCCCTGGGTGGTGGCAGTTCTACCCCTAGGCTAGCGGGTGTGCTCCAGGAAGGGGGTCAGCCAGACGTGAGCCGCCCCCAGGGAGGCACTCAGAGCCTGGCAGGTGGTCGGGCACAGTGAGGTGGGTGGCTCCCCCTACTGACCCACCACAGGGGGTCAGACTCGATGATCCTTTGAGGACCCTTCCGACCCAAGCATCTATGAATCTGATTAAATGAAACCTGAGGGCTTGGGAACTTACCTCTTTGCAGGGCTTGAGCTTCCTTGAGGAAAAGACTTGTCTTGGGTTGGAGGAGGTTTGCTGGCCCACGCGGCTGACCTTAGGGGTGCACCAGGGTGGCTGACCCTGTAGTCTCACCTGACTTGGGGAGTGCTGCACTCACAGCTCCCTGTAAGCACCAGTGGGATAAGACCCAGATGTCCTGGTTTAGAGGCCCTCCTCCCAGCCTCTGCATCCCCCTCCCATTACAGTTCACAAGAGAAGGTGCACAGGACGGGCGCAGAGAGCAAGACACTCCCTGATTGCACCTGCTGGGGCATGGCAGGACCCCTGCCTGCTGGACCCAGCCCCATGGGTACATCTTTCCTGTGGCAGCTGAGAGTCCTGGTCTTCAACTCTCAGTTCTGCTCTGGCTGTTTGCTCTCGGTTTTGATTCTCCGTGGAGGTGTGACCCAGCGGTTTCCCCATGATGGGAAGCTGGGGCCTTGCTACCATATGTTGGGCAGTTAATTCATAGTCTCATTTTCTATGTAGTTGAAGCTCCCCTGCAGCACGTCCCTGGGGCTTGCACAGTTTCTAGACCCAGGGCAGGGCATCCCAGCCCTACAGACACCCACACACAGACAGCCTGGGCCGGCAGGCTCCAGAGAGCAGCCTGAGAGCAGAGACCAGCACTGGCTTGGCACTAGCACAGCACCAAGATGACAAGGTAGGAGCCTGAATACTGTGCAACAATGGGCTGCCTGCTGGGGCAGGGCCTGGGCTGCTGGGGTCCAGGGGCACTGGGGCTCCCCACATCAGCCTGGGGGTTAGAGCAGAGGGGGCCTCCCCCAGAGCTGGGACAAAGGCCATGGGGAATGCACAGGCTGAGCTCCAAGGGGTCCTTTCTTCTGGGACTGTCATGCCCATATTCAAACGTGCTGGCCAGAACGGGCACTGGTGCGTGGGGGTGGCCAGGCAGGAGCCAGGGCACCTGGGCTCCATGCCCCACTTTGGAAAAGGGGAGGGTAGGAGCAGAAAAGCAGGACCCCAGGGTAGCCTCTCAGCTAGTGTTGCTACTAGTCTCTCTACCTGCTCCGCGGGACCTGGGGTGCCTGGGCTCCATGCCCCACTTTGGGAAAGGGGAGGGTAGGAGCAGACGGGCTGGACCCCGGGGCAGCCTCTCAGCTAGTGTTGCTGCCCTGGCTCTCTCCACCTGCTCCTGGCCATCGTGGGGGCTAGGCCCCTGGGGCCACAGTGCTGGCTCTGTGGTGCTGCCTGTGCCAACAGTGTTGCTCTTTGCTCTCTCTGCAGTGATGGGCAGCTGCGGGACAGGCTGCAGGCGCTGCAGTGCCACTTCACCTGGGACCTGGATGCCCCCAGCCAGCTCAAACCAGAGCACGTCCTGCAGTGCCTGGCCGTGGAGATCCAGCACACACCCCACCACAACCAGGCCACGCTCCTGGCCCTGCGGGCGTTCCTCTGCCAGCGGCTGGGCCGGTATGCAGATGCTCTGCAGAGCCTCCGGGATGCTGAAGAGCAGCTGAGACAGGATTTCCCAGACGGGTCCCCTGGACAGGCCCTGCTGATCTATGGCAACTACGCCTGGGTGCACTACCACCTGGGCACCCTTGACGAGGCCACGCGCTACCTGGAGCGCACACAGGCAGCCCCCCTA